TGTATGCATGTTAATCACCTAATTTGCATAATTATTAGTCATTTTTCGGCTTTTCCACTGATATCTAAAGTACTAATCATCACATTTCAATGAAACTTGGTACATAGATGCTCTATGAGAATGCACAGACCTGCTCAATTTTGGGTTAAAATCTGCTCATATTAATTACCTAGTTTGCATAATAATTCATAATTTTTAGGTTATAATCACAGTAACAATAAATCGAATGTATCGACTTTAGGACGAATCAACCGTATACAACAATGCAGCCTGGTAGGGGGTTGTAACAGTTCCTTGTAAACGTTGTCTTGCGCAACATAGCCCGAATAGCGAGTACACCACCATCATTACAGATAGTGCTGTTCATTAAATAAATTTATTGGGAAAACCTTGGTAGCCAGATGGTGGAACTCAGGAACATTTCTTGTCTACTGCCATGAAATAAACACAGATGGTGGAACTCAGGAACATTTCCTGTCTACTGCCATGAAATAAACACAGATGGTGGAACTCAGGAACATTTCCTGTCTACTGCCATGAAATAAACACAGATGGTGGAACTCAGGAACATTTTCTGTCTACTGCCATGAAATAAACACAGATGGTGGAACTCAGGAACATTTGCTGTCTACTGCCATGAAATAAACACTGGGTCGTACATACACCACCTGGAGACCAGCTATTTCATTGTGTTCTAATTTTAAAACATTGCTAGAAATAAGTCTCTGGTCAGAGTTGATCTCCACAACGAGAACCTATACAAAATATATACTGATATCTGATTTTAAACCAACATAGATCATGATGGCCTCGTATACAGTTTTTTATCAGTCAAGTTTATATGATTCATTCTTACATGTGTTTGTTTCTAGATATTTGGTATTAACAAGTAAACACCATGAAGGCTGGACTAACTGGGGATCTAAGTACTCTTGGAATTGGAACGCTGTGGACCTAGGACCACACAGAGATCTCCTGGGTATGTAGATGTAATTTAACATGATAAATGTAAATAACAAATATCATTTGGTCCATGATTCAAAATATATAGAAGTAACAGTTATAATCATGTTATTTGTACAAGACTGCATTCATTCAAATCACTTGCCAAGATGCGTTTAGGATCTAATCACACTACCTGTGATTCATCTGAGGAAACTCAACCCATTATTCCTTGTGTTCCTGCTCTCCTCTCACCAGTTTCCAAAGTTATTACCAAATGATTTATTATCATTGAGCTTCTCTCCAGCATTTGCATGATTTGTTGCAGGTGACCTGGCAAATTCCATTCGTAAGAAAACTGATTTGCACTTTGGTTTGTATTATTCACTTTTTGAATGGTTCCATCCTCTTTACTTGGAGGACAAGAAGAATGGGTTCAAAACACAGAAGTATGTTGAGGTAAGTATACAAACCGTAATGATTTAGTAAATTTAGTTGCATTATTCTGATACATAATTTTGTACCTCATGCTTTTCACCCCGATGACAACTGTTGTCTGTTCTCATTTTGTGAGTTTGTTTCCATATAGAATGTGTTTACATCTTGTTATAATTAAGATCTACAAGCAATGTCTGATTCTGTCTGGGATTAATTTGATTTGGATTTAGTAAAATTTTAAAAATACAAAAATATTTGCACAACAATGTTGTCAGGAAAGTAGATAAAAACTTTTATACTATTGTATGAGCAATAACAGTACAGTTGCACTTTAGAATGCAATGTCTTTATGACCTTGTAAATTCCCTTTGCAGATATGCATTTGGATATCATTTGGGCAAAATGTAATTTCTACATTTACATGCACAATTTTTATATTTCTAGACTGTTATGAACCCACAGTTAGCTGAGATTGTTAATACGTATAAACCTGAGGTTGTTTGGTCTGATGGTGACTGGGAAGCTCCAGACACATACTGGAATAGTACAGACTTCCTGGCATGGCTATATAATTACAGGTATGAGAATTTAATTAAACCTCTTAGCACTTAAAATATATTGCAGTATGATAGAATAGGATTTTGTTTATCACACATTGATGAACTGTGGCAGATCAAACATATGCCTTGGTGGCATAGATGTGGCATTGGATAAAATGTGTATCAATGTTATTTTAATCATGTGCAGTGGTTTTTTATATGCATGCATGCATGGAAAAAATGTATCAAAACAAGTCTTATACACATAGGTGTTTAGGCAGTTGTTGCTATTGTTGATATAATTCTCTCAATTTAGATCATAAATAAAATAAATCCTCTTATTACATGTTTGAGACTGTCATAAATCATAACATGTATTCATGTGTTCCAATTTACATGCACATCTTACCTCAAAATAAACAAGACAAGGATAGTCATTTTGAGGGAGCATTGTTCTTGACACATAAAAACTGTAAACCTGGAAGTCGTATTCAACCTTTGACCCTTTGAAATCAAGCACAGTTTTGCTGTAATATATCACCTTTAGTATAAACATGACATGTATAAGAATAATTATCAAGTAAAAAGGCTCACTGAAAAACAATACAAATAAAAGAGAAAGACTTCTCAAAGTGCTATCTGCTACCATGCAGGGAAGTTGCATTTTTCTCGAACTTGTACCAAAATATGTTCTTAATGAGATTCTGAATAATAAAGTGACTATGTAAATGTAATTGGTGAGTAATTTGGGCGACCTATAAACTAGCACATTAAATAATATTATTTTGTCTTGCGATTCTCTTACCCATGTTTCAGTTGTGTGTTTTATTCCTTTCTCTTTAGTCCGGTGAAAGACACGGTAGTTGTTAATGATAGATGGGGTAGTGGAGATACTTGTCATCATGGTGGTTATTTTACATGCACCGATCGCTATAACCCTGGTAAGTTTATTTCTTTATTAATGCAGACTTTCACAATATTGTATTTTGAAAGGAAGAACTAAATATGGCTTCATTTTTCTTTGCAAATATCACTGTATTCCTTTAACTGATTTACTTCTTTCTTATTAAAATGGGTACAAGTTGTGTTTTGCTATATGTCATGTTATTTTATATTATTATAAATCTATCAACGTAACGCCATAAGTTCCAGCGTGTGGTAATTTTGCGGGGTATTTTCATCCTACCATATAAGGAATTGTGAATTCAAAATATGGAATGATTACTCAAGTAAGCGTCCTCTAATAATAAAAACAAACATGGTTGCCACCAGGGTTTAACCGGACTCCACACAAAGAAGTTCTGTTCTAATCTTTTTGGATTTTGGCATTCCCATAATGTATCCTTGGAAGGAAAAGATGTATGTAATAAGGTTATTACGAGGATACCTCAAAGTATGCACTTCATGGAATTTTCTCTTCCAGGAGTGTTACAGGAACACAAGTGGGAGAACTGCATGACAATTGACAAGAAATCCTGGGGTTATCGTAGAGACTCTTACCTCTCAGACTACTTAGATATGGATGATTTAACCCAATCATTAGCTGAAACTGTCAGGTACATGATTATTTTCGAAACATTCACTGCATCAAGACATGTTTTTCATTCAATTTTCATTCATAAATACCAGACCATATACATTGAATGGTAAAAATTACTCAAAAGGTCTCATGGAAACCATGTCAGGAAAATATGTATTTCATTGACATTTTCTCTTATTATATTAGTTGTGGAGGCAATCTTTTAATGAATATTGGGCCAACCCATGATGGTAGAATCATGCCCATTTTTGAAGAACGACTGCGTGATATGGGAGGTTGGTTGAAAGTTAATGGAGAAGCTATTTACTCCAGTAAGCCATGGACGTCTCAGAATGACACAGTAACGAAAGGTGTATGGTGAGTAAATCGGCTAATCATCCTTGATCCCCATCACGTCTCAATTGTCATATCAAACCTTTGTAATATTTGCAGCTGATATATATTGGTCAGAATAAATGTGGTATGATTTGGAAACAATGAATCTCAAATCTTTATAATTCTGTTTATTATAGGTATACCAGTAAACCTGATGCAGTGTATGGTATTGTACTAGACTGGCCACCATCTAATGAGTTGATACTAGGATCTCCACAATCGACTGAAAAAACAACTGTGCAAATGCTGGGATATGCAACAATGCTGTCATGGAAACCAAATCCAACAAAGGGTATCACCGTCGCCATGCCAACACTAAATGCAGATCAAATACCATGTCAGTGGGCATGGGTTTTAAAGTTTAAAAATATAAAATAATAATTTGAGAGAGTGGAGTTACTGAGACAAATAAACAGAAAAGTAATACAAGTAATATAATTTGTTATATTTGGATAATGGTGTTAAGTCTGAAAATATAATTGGAGAAAACAAATTGAATATTGGATGTACATATGAAGGTATTTTTTGTTGCTACTTAGATGATGTAATGTCCATTTTGGTACCGTTACTCATGTAATGATTAATGTGATTATCTTTCCGCACATATTATACTATGTAACATTTATCTTCGACAAGAAGACGTTTTGTAAATAAGTACCGTAAGGTTACATGTATGTAGTATTGAAGCCTGGGATCAAATATTATAATGTACATGCATTGGCTAACCCGATTACACCATTGAATTACCTAGATACATTGAAGTGAAATAATACTTTGATATAATGGAAAACTTGTGTTCAAGTTGCAAAACAGTATCTTACAAAGCAAGTCTGAAACTAATTTTACTTGAAAATTTTTCAAATGAAATTCAGTTTTGTATTTTTGTTTTATAGCATCAACTATTTTTCAAATAAATCGCATACAATTGTACATTTCTTCAGTTTTTCACTCCCATGTGTGAATCACACAATGGGTGTCTTTGCAGTTAGTACATCTGTGTGGGAGTGTGGAACCGACGTAACAACTTCAATTAACTTTACAACGACTTGTGACGATGTCGCATACGACTTGTTTACCACTTCCGTGTGACTGAGAATGTTCTAGAACCATACTGTGTCTGGGTGGAATTTTTAGAAGCTGGTTGAATAGGTAATAGGACACTGTAGAAGGTAATGGAACATTCTAGAAATTTGTAGTAAGTTCCAGACTCATTATGTATGCTGATGTAATGGTCTATTTATAGACAGTGTGGGTATATATAGGGGAGTTCTTCAGCACTAAGTTCAGATCGGAGATCTCGTTGAATTGTATTGTATTGGAGTTTAAGTATCTAGTTATTGGAGTAGTGGAGTTTTACAGCGTTATTGTACTAGAGGTTTGCAGAGTATAATAATACCAGTACCAGTTGAAACCTCATCTGTTGGCTCCGTGTTCGTATTTTATCATCGCCGCCAGGGAAGTCTTTATGTTACTGTTGCCATTTTGGTATTTGAACCATCACACCTGTACTATACCAATTACGGTAATATTACGTTGCGTGTGACATCTGGGGGCTCGTCCGGGAACAGTGAAGACATATAGAAGACAACATGGCCAGCGAGATGAAAGATATGTCGAAACAAGAGTTGATGGAATGGGCGGATGAACTGGGAATGACTGGAGAAGACAAAGGGAAATTTATTTTGGAGCAATTGAGTTCTCAGCGGGCTGACGGACAAGCGGCGAAGTAAGACTGAAAGGCAAAAATGGAAATATAAGTAGAGGTGAGGAAAATGGAGATTGAAGAAAGAAAGGAAAAGTTACGGCTGGAAGCGGAAGCAGAACAGCAAGAAAAGGAAAGGGAAGCAGAGGTAAGGAAAATGGAGATTGAGGAAAAAAAGGAAAAGTTACGGCTGGAAGCGGAAGCAGGCGAAAGAGAGAATATGCAAATGGAAGTAGAACAGTGAGAAAAGGAAAGAGAATTTGAGTTGAGGAAATTAGAGCTGCAAGCAGCAATGCCGGTGCTCCAACAGGCTGATG